AAAAAAAAAAAAAATTAAAATAAATGACATCCGGGCAGCACGGGGAGGAGAAAGGAGAGAAGAGAGGAACGTTACGGAGCAGGAGAAACCCCCTCGCGTTGAGGACCCAGATATCCGGGCTCCCGCCCCGCCCTCCTGCCCCACCCCATCACTCACCCTCCGGGCTTTGCTCTGGTACTTTACGGCTTTTTTGGTGTCCGACACGGCTCGTTCCACGTAGTCGACCGAGTGTTCCACGTTGTACTCGATGCGGTCGATCATCTCGCCCTGAGAGGCAGAACCGGACCCTGAGCCGCGTGTCCCATCTTTGGGGTGGGGCTGGCACCCCAGGGCACCCACCCCGGCACCTAGGATGGGGGCTCGATCGGTTCTAGGTGGTTCAACGGTGTCTTGGTGGGCTCAAGAGCTTTCGATGGCATCGAGGTGAGCCAACAAGCCCTAATGATGGCTTTTGGTGGGTTCTAGGTGACCCTTGGTGGGATCAAGAGTTTCTGATGGCGCCCAGGCAGGGCAATGAACACTAAATATGGGGTTTGGTGGGTTCTAGGTGACCCTTGGTGGGCTCAAGAGTTTCTGATGGTGCCCAGGCAGGCCAATGAACACTAAATATGGGGTTTGGTGGGTTTTGGGTGACTCTAGGTGGGCTCAAGAGTTTTTGAGGGCATCCAGGTGAGCCAATACACACTAAATATAGGGTTAGGTGGGTTCTAGGTGACCCAATGGTCTCTTGGCGGGCTTGAGAGCTTTTGATCATGGGTTCTGGATGATCCCGTGAGCTCTGGAAGTTTCAACAGGCTCTGGAAGATCCAACGATCTCTCAAATGTTGTTTCTCAGTGGGAGGGAGGGATCCACGGGATCCGGTACCTCGCTGGGGGCTTTGTGCAGGTCTTCAACCCCAACGCGGGAAGAGTCCGAGCCCTCCCTCCGTCCCTCGCCCGCCCCTACCTGGCTCTCCACCAGCATCGCCATGTCCACAAACATGTCGTGCAGCTCCCGGATGCTCGTTTCCAGCTTTATGATCTCGTTGTGTCGCGTCTCGATCTCGTTCAGGGCCTGTTTGGTCATCTGCGAGTCCATTTTGATCTGGTGGGAGAGAGGGGAGTTGGGTGGGAACGTCGGGTGGGGGTCCTCGGGCTCGAGATGATCCAAAGTACCCCAGCGGGTCATAGGCAACCTCACGGTTTCTAGGTCATGCAACGATTCGGGGCATCTCCTTGGGTTCTAGGTGACCTAACGGGTTCCGGGTGACCCAATGGGCACCCAGGTCCCTCAAAAAGCCCCGAGGGGCTCCAGGGCACCTGCTGGTTTTCAAGTGACGCAAAAGCCGGTTGGGGCGTCTCATTAGCCCCTGCTCCGGCTTCGTTGGGTTCTAGGCGCCCCATTGGGCGCCGGGGGGGCCTCCAAGGGTTCTTGACCGCGGGGGCAGAGAGACCTCACTTACGTCATCCGTGAAGATGGCCAACTTCCCGCTCTCCAGCATGTCCTCCAGCTCCTCGTTGGTGGTGGTCCGGCCGGCTGCGGAAAGAGGGGCGGTGACAGGTGACACCCCACCCCCCCCCGCCCAAAACCCCAATTCCGGCGTTTTCTCTGCCCCGCCCTCGCCGGTTGCCACGACCTACTGATCTCCAGCTGTCTCTGGATCCTGTCCTTGCACCGGTCGCGGTACTTGGACTGGGTGGCGTTGTACTCCGTCATCACCTCCACGAACTTGCGGGACAGCGTCGAGTGCTGGGGGGGGGACGTGGGGATGGACACGGCGTGGGCGGGGGACCTCGCGCCGGTGGCCACCAAGAAGAAGGAGGAGGAGGAAGAGGAGGAGGAGGGATACCTGCGTTTTCCGGATGCGTAAGTCGGCCGAGGAGCGGTTCAGACCTTCCTCCTGCTCGATGCTCTGCTCGATGGCTGCAGGAGAAAACGGCGTGACATCTCCTTCC